TTCAAAACAGAATGGAGAAAGCACGAACCACGTCTTCTCTCCAAAGGATCACCCGAGCAACGGGCACAGGTAGCAAGCTCGAGCTTCTACCTGAAATGGTGGTGGGACGCCCCCGAAGGGGTCAGTACTCTATACGGCTATAAAGTACTGGTGTGGATGGCATCTAAGGGATATACGACAAGTATTTCAAACACAAGACCCTCAAATAGGGTGATAATACAATATAGTGGTAACCCAAGTTACCCCGTTTGAAAATATACTTACTTTATATAAAAGTCAAGTAATCGGCCCGTGGGCCCATGTTCATTTAGAAATCACCATTCCCATTCCCCGTGACTTTAAGCCACGACAATTCATAGAGTTCATCACATTACTATTGCATAGCAAGGGCTCGGCCCAACTACATTTCTATGCAATCTTTTATGTCAAATACATCCTATCACATTTGCATAGCAAGGGCTCGGCCCAACTACGTTTCTATGCAAATCACAATTTACATGGCAAGGGCTCGGCCCAACTACATTTCCATGCAAATCACAATTACATGGCAAGGGCTCGGCCCAACTACATTTCCATGCAAGTCACAATTACATCCTATCACATTTGCATAGCAAGGGCTCGGCCCAACTACGTTTCTATGCAAACCACAATTTACATGGCAATGGCTCGGCCCAACTACATTTCCATGCAAATAACAATTACATGGCAAGGGCTCGGCCCAACTACGTTTCCATGCAATCATAGAGTCCGGCTCTAATTCTTCATTATAGTCCAATTCCTAAGCAAACCTATGCCTAGAATTGACATCTCAATAATCTACCTTGGGTCATTCTTAATGACTTCCCATAACTTACCCTTAGTTTCATACTAAGTCATCTTATACACTTGAAGTACATTCAAGTGCATTTCATGCAATCCAATATTTAGGATCAATTCTATCAACAATTTCAAATAATCACTAACTAGTATTTCAATACTATTAAGATTATTGTCATCATACAACATCCTCATTTTGTAATTCTCTACATATTTATAAGTATGTAGCAGCAACTTAAATATTCAACTTCAATACATAAATACCCATTTATGTATCCACATATTTAATACATGAGTAAAATGCCTATTTCACCAAAATAGTTCATTAATAACTCATTAAATCTCATATTATCCATACAACTTCAAATCATTTCCAATTTCATTCTTTGGCCACTATATCAATATTTTACCAATATTCAATCATCATAATTCATGAAAAATTATGATTTAGGCATTTAGGTAATCTCATGCTTAACCTACAAGTTGGAAGCAATTAGATGTCGATCCTCACCTTTGTTGAACTTTAAACTTTTCCTTCTTGATCCAATGACCAAAGCCTCGGCCAAGGAAGTTTGAGAACTGATTCCTTGCTTAGAAATGAGTGTTAAACAGCCTCCTCAAGGTGCAAGCTCAACTCCTAACCGAAGACACAAAAACATTCCCTAGAACGGGTGTTTTCCGACAAATTCGTTCCCTAACCCTTCAAGGTTTTGTCTAGGTTAGTATCTAACCTTTCCAACAATTAAAGTCACTTTATAATAACATTTTATGCACTTCAACCAGTGTATAATAGTTCTTCAATCATTTATATGATTTAGACAATAGAGAGGAAGGTTTTGGATTCAAACTTACTTTGAATACAAAAACGTATTCTGCAAGGTTGTGTTTTGTTCGGACAATTTGGAAGCCTTTCACTATTTCGATTGATGCAAACCAGACCTCCACGGATTCCTCGTCTTGAGAGATTTCTTTTGGTATCTTATACGACTTAATTGGACGAGTTAATCTCAAGTTATGGATCAAACAATCAGAGTTACGCACTGAAGAACGGACCTGCGGACTGCTCTCTTCCTTCCTTCCTTCCTTCTCTCTTGGGTTGTGTGGATCCCCTTTGCTCTCTTATCTCATTGGGGTTCGACTGGGGTGTAGGGGGAGTGTATAGGAGGCCTCAATCATGCTAAGAGAGCATGTGGTTCACAAAAAGAAAGGTAGGGTGTTTGATTTCAATCAAACATGGTGTGGACCTCCTCTTTTATTTCCTTTTTGTAATGTTGTAGCTAATGAGTCAAAAAGTCCGCCCCACATAGTTGTCTCACCCATTTTTCTTTGTCTTGCAGGTACCAAAGTCATGTGGAATGGTTCCCAAATGATCCCATTCAATTTGGGGTCCAAAATACCTACCAATACTTCCAAAATGAAAAGATGGACCCTATTGTTTTATCTTTGTCATGAGATGTCTTTTTGTACTCATTATAATTTATGTAGGCCAAGTCAACTTCATACATCATATTATTGATCCCCAATATGTGTAGGCTCATCCCAATAATTTACATGATGAATATTATAGAAGAAAAATCCTACTCCCATTATTTAGCTTAATAATGTCAAAGATGGGACCATAGGCATTTGTATTCTTCTCTAATCATTCCATCACTTATTTTGACATTTGTCGTTCACATTATTGGACTACTAGCCGTGTGGATCACCCTCGAGTGGGCCTTAGACGCCCTTCATGAATACTTACTATTTTTAGCAGGTTGGGCCCAAAATAATGCTTGGGCCGCCCGACCTTCCTCAACTTGTCTTGAAAGGTTATGTAACATTGTTTAGGTAATGTTGGGCTCTTATGTTCATTAATAAGTCCCAAATAAGTATTTGCAAACCCGACACCAATATACGAGTTTGAACAGTACAATAATCAATCATGCGCTATGTAAAACATTAATCGTTTTACAATTGTTTGGAAATCGGAAATTCAATACATAGACAAATTCAATTTTTTTTTAAATTGAATTTTCAAGGACGTTCGGGTGCGGTGTCACAGTTTATGTGCATCAGCCACCTGGTTTCGTTCATCCTCAGTTTCCTCATTATGTTTGTCGCCTTCGTAGGGCAATTTATGGGCTTAAACAGGCACCTCGCACATGGTTGTATCGTTTCAGTAGTTTCTTGTTGATGCATGGATTTATTTGTAGTCGTTCAGATAATTCTTTGTTTATTTATAACCATGGCGCGCATACTATCTATCTGCTTCTCTATGTTGACAGTATTATTATTACATGTGATTCCCCATCTTTCATTAATTCATTTATTTCTCGTCTTGATAAATCATTTGCTATGAAAGATTTGGGTGATTTACATTTTTTCTCGGGGTTCAGGCTCTCCATACCCCTCGTGGGCTCTTTCTTTCACAACATAAATATGTATCCGATTTGTTACTCTGATTTCATCTCCATACTCTTAAAGCGGTTCGTACTCCTCTTCCCACTCGTACTAAGCTTTCTCTAACTGATGGGGATCTGTTAGCAAATCCGACTGGGTATAGGAGTATGGTAGGAGCACTACAGTATTTAACCATGACTCGACCTGATGTTACTTATGTTGTTCACCTAGTTTCCCCGTTTATGCATGCTTCCCGTACTACACATTTTTTTGTTGTTAAGCGAATTTTCAGGTATTTACAAGGGACGTTTGATTTTGGCTTACTTCTTCAGCCGAGCTCTGCAGCACCTACTATACTGGCTTATTCCGATGCTGATCGGGGAGAATGTCTGAACAGCAGAAGGTCCACGCCTGGCTTTGCTATATTTTTCGGTTCAAATTTGGTGTCCTGGAAGTCCAAGAAACACCCTACAGTTTCGAGATCTTCTACAGAGGCAGAATATCGTGCTATTGCCTATGTTGTTCAAGATACTCTTCACATCCGTTCTATTTTGTTCGAGTTGGGTGTTTTGGTTGCTCACCCTGTTAAGCTTTTATGTGATAATGTGTCTGCTTCTTACCTATTTGCAAATCCTATTCAGCATGCTCGCAGCAAACACATTAATATTGATTATCATTTTGTTCGTGAACGGGTGGCTCATGGTGATTTACAAGTCAAATTTGTTCCTACTCAGCTCCAGTTGGCCGACATCTTCACAAAGTGTCTATCTCCACAGCATTTTACTTTTTTCGAGACAATCTGCGCATTGTTCCCCTACACAGCTTGAGGGGGTGTAATAATGTATTTATTAATATTAATTAGGTTGTCTAATTATAGTAGGAATCTCAATGTATCTTTGACTCTTTAATTATAAATAATACTTCTGGGACTACCGTTAAGGTATGTTTCCTCATTATTCTCACAATTACAGTAAGTGCTTATTAAAACACGGAGTACTTGAAAACTTGGCATTTGCTAAACTTATGCTAAAAGAATAACTACATGTAAGAAGCAGTTAGTTTCAACGATTGCATTTGGTGGAGTGGAAATTTGATTGATCCTTGTTAAAGCAGAAGCAGGTTCGAATCCCTTGACTGCTAAATTTTGAATTCAGGCCGATTCCAGGTTAAATTACCGATTTTCCCAGGTTGGTCCGTCCCGGGTCCAACGGGTGCATTTGGTGGAGTGGAAATTTGATTGATCCTTGTTAAAGCAAACACAAGTTCAAATCCCTTGGCTATTAAATTTTGAATTCATCCCGGTTCTAGGTTAAATTCCCAGTTTTCTTAAGTTTGGACCGGTTCGGGTCCGTCCCAGGTCCAACGGGTTTCCCCTCATTTGCGGGTTTGAATGCAACCAGACCGGGTTAGGTGTCGGGTGCATTTGGTGGAGTGGAAATTTGATTGATCCTTGTTAAAGCAGACACAGGTCTGAATCCCTTGGCTGCTAAATTTTGAATTCAGCCCGGTTCTAGGTTAAATTACCATTTTTCCTAAGTTGGGACCGGCCCAGGTCCGTCCCAGGTCCAACTGGTTTTTCCCTCATTTACAGGTTTGAATGCAACCGGACCGGGTTAGGTGTCGGGTCGCCGAGTTCCAGGTCGACCCGCCCGGTCCGGTTACATTGACGGACACCCAATTGATTTTTATTTAATTTTTTTTAATTTCTTTCAACTTGTAGCATTTTGTTTTCCTTTTCTTTAATGGTGAATTACAATATAATGGTAATAACTAACTTCTAACTTTTGATAAAATAAATTCGTGTTCTTAAACTTTTCGCTAGAGGTGTGCACAGATTCTCTCCAGGGTTAGCGCTTCGGTAATCGTTTAGCAATGGAACGTCCGTTATTGGCAAGTCCGAAGAGCGGGGCTGGGATTCCAGCCGTTTGTGGATTATTTGGCTTTCGTTTCCAGCAGGTGGGCTTTGGAAGGAGATCTCGTATGCAGCAGGGGTGTCAAATTCCGGATTCGGAATCGATGGCTTCTGGAGCGTAGGGCTTGAGGGTCTCCAGAGAAGAGCGGCTCTTTGGAATCGGCAGCTTCGGGTTCGATGATCTTCATCGGCGTCCAGTGCAGGTGAGGCTCATCGGTTGGAGGATAAGTCTTCCGAATTGCATGGAAAATTTTGTTAGTCAGTACAAGAAGATGACGATTGGGATAGAGAAAGAAGAATTGGATCTCGATGAAGTTGATATTAAGGAATCTCCGGTAATGGAGACCAATCGAGGGTTTCCTGTTGAAGCTCTCTTTTACCATACTACAGCAGCTCGCCCTCCTCCGGAACCACCTCCGTGCAAGGAAGTAATTTGGGGAAGGCTTTTGCTTTCATACTATTTTTGCTTTCGCGGTGCTTATTTTTATTTCAATTCGAGCAGGTATGGTCAGATTATTTTGATTTGTGATGAACTTTTGATAGGCGGTGCTTCATTTTCGATCGTTTTAGGCTTCCTTTTGCCCGTTTTGTGTCTAGCGAGTCATGTTGCTTTGTATGGGTGGCTGGCTGACTCTAAGTCTATTCTTGTGGCTTACAATCGGATCTGTAACATCTGTCTGGATTTTGTATGGCTGTTTTGGTCTATACTCTTTAGTAATGGGAAACCGTTTTGATGAGTAAAAAAAGGCTTTTTCTAGAGGTAGATATCTTATGCTATATGCAGTAACATAAGTTTGTTGTCTAGAGCCGTCAAAATGGGTCGAAACCCTCAAAGTGACCCATTTAAACCCATTTATTGGTGGGTTAGGGTTATGATTTTCTGACCCATTTAGTTCGCGGGTTTCGCGGGTCAACCCACGCGGGTTGCGGGTTTAAATGGGTTGGCCCACCGGGTTGCGGGTTGGCCCGGGGGCCAATATACAAACATATTATTTTAATTTTTTGTATCTTAAATATTGTTCTTTTACTATCAAAATTATTATAATTACAATTAAAAAATTACAACCATTGCAAAATAATTATTAGCTCTATAATAAATATTCAAATAAATTGTTGAAACATACGAAGTATATTTTATGTAAAGTTCGATCTATCATTTAATATTTAGTAGTCGTGATTTACAAATAATCACTCAAAAAGTTTAAGTACATATTTGCTTTTATACAATGTGTATCCTTGCTACATACACTTTAATAGTTTTCAAATTCTAGTATAACTAGTATGAAGTACATAATATTATTTAATACTACATATTTTTTAATTAAACTTAACAAGTATTGATTTCTTAGTATTTTGATTTCTTATATTTCATATACTACTACTTACTGATATACATATACTTCCTCCACTCTTAAATAAATGCAACGGTCAACATTTCACACTTGTCGAGACACAACTTTGACCATTAATATATATAAATTTATATTAGTAAAAAAATTAAAAAATTAGATATTGAAAATTTACAATGAGACCAATTTAACAATATTTTTTTCATAAAAATATATTCATACATTAATAAATAAAACGTAGCCAAAGTAGAACATGTGAATAGTGTAAAATTCCATATGTTGCATTTATTTAAGAAAGAAGGTAGTATATTCAAGGGTAATTATTTTAAAGAATAATTTTTTCATTTTTTTTTGCAACGGCCCACGGGCCAACCCGTTTAGCCCGTGGGTTAGGCGGGTTGGGTTAGGGTTGTAGAAACTTTGGCCCGTCATTAAACGGGTTGGCCTGACCCAACCCACATAAAGCATAATCCGTCACGGGTCGGGGCGGGTTGGCCCGTTTGACAGCTCTGTTGTTGTCCTCTCCGATCGGGTAGAGAGGACTGTTAGGTGTGTATTTCAGCTCAACCCAATACAACTCTCACACACCAATACCTCCAACACCTCCAACAAGGACAACCCCTTGTCCCCTTTTGGCGGTGGTATGTTTTTTCTGAAATGGGAGAGCAGCTGTTGAAGTAATTGAATATGCTAATTTTGCTGACAACGTAACTTAATAGATTTAATTATTTATAAATGCGTTAATATATTATTTTCAAATTAATCTGTGAAACAATCTAAAAAGGAAGATCAGTAAAGTGTCATTTCCCCTCATTTTTAGCCAAAATAGCATCTGACATACGACTTTATTTTATCCAATCAATAAAGTCATGACTACCAAAGCGAGCAAAAACCATACAAAAACGAATACCCTTGTCTTTTCTTTTCTCTGAACTTAAAACTGGAGCAACCAAAATAGGCCTCGCTCCATAATTGAATGCTTAGTTTGACCTTGTGCTGATTCTTTACATACTACCAACTACCACAACACTTGATTTTGACGACAGAACATCTTGCTACAATCACACAATCAATCTATCTCCACAACTGCATTAACAAACACATATACTTATAGTACACAAAGCAATGTACAAGCTAGGTACAAAGTATGAACCTTTCCTTTCTATCATGTCAAGATTGAGTCCTCCGTTGTTATGGTCAGCAGGGAATACTTCACTTTGATTCTTATCCTGCTGTCCTCCACAAAGAGCCTTGCACCACTAACCACCCAATACCCCGGTGACTCCTCCGGCCCTCTCACCATTTCTTTTGTATCCACAAAGTGTGTCATCTTTGGAGGCCTTGCTGGCATGGGAGGTCCACCGGGGTAAACAGCAGAGTTCAAATCCACTTTTACAGCTTTATCGGGCTGTGTGAGCTTCGTTGTGCTGAATGGTGTAGTGATGAGCATTGAGATCAAACCTGACTTCCGGCCCGAACTCATCGGTTCATCCCACTCCGATCTGCGGATCAGGGCGGACCCCACCATTGAGAACCCGAGCCTCATGAACAAAACCTTCTTCATGCCAACCGCCTTTACCTCGAACCAAGCCTTGGTCACTATCGAAGCAAAATCGTCTCTCCCAGTCCCGTGGTACTCAATTGGGGCCGTGCAAATGTGTGAGAATATGCTCCACTTTACGGGTTCAAAATAGTCCCGTTCAGTTTTCACATCAACAGGCTCGTAGGTGAGATCGTCCATTAGTTGCAGACTTTGTGGAACAGTTGACAAATGCTGTAGATGTATGGCTAGGTGATCACTCCTTTTGCCTTCCAGGTATAAGCGAAGGCCGGTGACAGGCCGGTTTCCTGAGTCAACCTGCAAAATTTCATATGCTTTAGATGGCTTAGTTTTTATGTCTATTACTAGAATGTTTCAATAAAACAAAATAAAAGGTGATCATAATGCTATACCATTACATATTGTGTTACTCTTTCAATTTAATCAAATCAAACACACATGATTAGGAAAAAGTTCACGTGAAAATTAAAAATTATAACTATTTATTTCTCACCTGCGAAATATAACTTAGAATAATAAAAATACAACTTTGAATACATGAGCTATAACTTCTAGTCTTTCTTTTCATCAGCAAAAATGACCAATAAGAAGTTATATGTTTTGTCATAAAAGCTGAACTTTTGTTACTATAAGTAAATAAGCAATATTTCGCTGTTCTCACCTGATCTTCTTACTATACACAGACCCTCCCCTCATAATCCCTCCTTTCAAACCAAATGTTTGGATGGAGCCATGGAGGGGAAGACCTTGAAGGGCTAGTCTATGATATACAGATTGTTTCTAAAGATCAATAGAAGGCGATTGAATTGTTATACGAGCCTACATCATGTCAAATCTTGCACTTTTATAAAATTTCAAATACTACGTATATATCAAGGCATAGACTAAGCCCTTCAAATCATTCCTGTCCAAAACAAACAGGCCCTTACCAAACATTCGACTAGACAACAGATGCATTCCCAAAATCAATAGTGTGCAGAAGAATTGTTTTTTAGATATGTAGAATTTCACCTTCTCGGTATTTACAAATAGTTTCGGACCCATAAAAGTGAACTGCAAAGATGGAGAACTCTGTTTCCTATGGTGGTGACCAAGAGGAAGATCACCATATGCTGGTGCCCACTGCCGGGGTAACTGAAATTCCAGAAATTGTCGAAGTTCTTCGATTGGTGGTTTGTCTGCAAAAATTTAAAATATTAGATAGAGTGTAACTATGGTTCCACTCACAAAAATGCAACTGTTAGTATAAGTTCAGACGAAAAACATATTTAAACCTTTCAAAGAGTTACACTAAAGTCAGCACTTGCGTTTTATGCATTTTATGCGTCAGTTACAACAGTTATTTTTTAGTTTTCCCAAACACTGGTTGATAGAGAGGGACTAAAACGAAATGCAGTAAACCGTAGTCCATAGGGAATGGCAAACAAAAATACATTTCAGCCAAAATTAGAACATGTCTCACATGCAACAGCCATGGTGGTCTTCCTCCATATGGACTATGGAAAACAAATAAATATGATAACTACTTAGAAGATGAACAGTACTCACAGCGCAGGTACAAGTTAATTGCATGACCTAAGAATCCACTGCCACGAACACCACTTAATAATGAAGCAATAGGCACAAAGGACATTGAAATAACATTAGGGTTCTGTGATACTGTAAGCAGCCATTGACTATGACTTTGGTCATAGTCAATACCTCCCCGACGGTTATGAATGCTTATTATGTCCTGCAACAAAATACACTCTCTTACCTTGCAGAAACTAGTTTTTTAAAGAGCATCACAAATTGGTTTATAAACAAGAGGAAGTGAAAGCTTAAAGGCTTACATCATTCTTTGAGTGTGACAAAATAGTGGGTCTTATTGAACTTGCAACTGGTAACCCGGAATCCCAAAGCATAGTTGTTCGATCCTGAGAGCATATAATGAAAATCAATCGGTGTAGCCGTGTATGTTTCCTGAGGTAAACTCATACATACTAAAGAGTTTATTATTAAGTGTTCCCAGATGCTCTATTCTGCAAACACATACTCAGCCTTCTCTTCTTAAAAAGATACAAGAACGTAATGCCATCTAGTTTTCCAGTAGACTTTTTTATTTCCATGTGACCTCAAAAGGATATGAACCGTAAACAGTGAAGCATTAGTGTCACGATGTCTAAGGTAAGTTTTACCTTATGGTTTTCTGTAGACTTGTTAGGGTTTGATATCGTGTTTCCATTTACGTCATCTGAAAATCTTTCATCAGCTAACCGTTTTAACAACTTCTGCACTTCTGCAGGCTCAAGGTTTGAGTTGTGAAGCTGCTTTATGTGAACTACATCCTTTCCTCCCATCTTTACACCGATAATGATATGGGTCCCATACTTTTCAATGAATCTGGATACTAGTGTGATTAGTTTCATAAGCAACAAGTTCCAGGCTTCCAGCAACTAAGAGATACTTGAAGTAGTGAGATGGTTATTTGCAGGTCATATTTCTCGTAAAGGGAAAAATTGACAAGTGACAACTACAAGGAATTCAAACATTTCCATCAAAATAAATCCCTAACTGTTTTAGTTTGCCATCATTTTTCGTTTCTAAATTTGCACCCAAGTAAATCCATAAACAGTAAATCATAACTAGCTATAAGTGCAAGATCATTCATATCATCATCATTTTCATTTACCCCAGTGCCGCAAAGGCTCCCACCTATGGTGGGGTAAGGGGGGTCGGATGTACGCAGTCTTACCCCTGTACTAAAGCACAGAGAGGCTGTTTCCGGATGACCCATAGTGAAAATCGCAACCAAAATTGCATGGACTGACTGCTGCTTCATAACAAAGAAGCGCAG